TCTTGCTTAGAACGTATCAATTTCTTGATTATGTGAGAAGACGTGGAATCTGTAAAATTCAGGAATACTCCACAGCCTCCTGACATCCTGGTTATAACCCCCCTTTCATATTTCACAGTCTATTCAGCACCCACCTTCATCACTGCTGAAAAGTCAGAAAACTGTTCATGCGGAATTTTTCCCCTTCATCGTAAGAACTTCTGAGAGGAACTAGAATACTGCAGAGAAGGGATATTTCGTGGCCCAGGAGAAGAGAGACTCCTGAAGGACCAAGGGGAATACCAGGCAGCCTGGCCTCAGCCACACATCAGCATCTCCCACAACCACATTTTTAAAGATGCCCAACCCCTCTTTCAACTTACACTCCATGTCCTTTCCACACAAGGTGCCTCAGAGGTTAAGAGCAGATCTTGGGCAATCTAGGAGCTCTGTTTCTCAGGTTCTATACTTAGAACCTGCATAAGCCTGGAAAGAGATGTAGGAGCTAAAGGGATTAGGAACCCCTTGGATGCAAACAAATAACTTCCGGGCACACCAAGAACAAACCAGTGCAGTTTTATAAAGTGCATTCTTAATGGAGTTCCAGAGGATACACACTCTAGAAAAAGTGGAGGAGGCAAAAGTTGTGAGTTTGCTTTCCGCCTGCAGTTTGAGAAACCTGAGCCATGGGTAACAAAAGCACACCAGCAGTCTCGCCCACTCCACCCACCCACAGCCACAGACACAAAGAGAAGTGAATGCCTATTGCTTCTCACTTCCAGAGCTCTCCTAAAACGATCGATGAGGAAGACAGAATATCCCGATGCCTTGAGCTATATTATAGTTGGCAATAAAGGGGTTAAGTGGCTCTACTTTGCAATCCCCTAGCTGTAAATGCAATTCTCCTCCCTACCTGAGCGACATATTATTTTAAACTTAGCAAGTTAAGGGTTAAGACCAGCACCTCGGAAAGAAAAAGAGAACTTAGTTCAACTCCACCCTCTCTAAAGCAAATATCAACAACTTTGTGCCAAATCCACTCAGCATAGACAGAGCTCATTCATGGACCTTCCAAAAACAGGTGAACAGAAGTGGTTTCCTCAGGTGTCTCACTTCTCAGCACCACTTACACTTAGCAGATTCCACACATTTGTGAAACACAGTGTTAGATAAAACATATAAACTTCTATGAAGGGCTTGAAAAACATTTACAAGCCACAGAGGTCACTTATAAATCAGCAGGAATAGCTGAAACTGGGTGAGGAAGGTCAAACAGTAGCCATGGAAACAAAATCAAAACAAAAAGACACTGAAACAGGAGCAATATGGGCTCAGAAAGAAAGCTCTCCACCCTAGAGGGTCAATGCTTACCCTAAAGAAACGATTCTTTAGTTACCGCAGGGGAAGGTCGTCACTACCATTAACCCTCCATTTCTGGAAGGGGGCGTGGGGGGGGGGCTGTTTCACCAGATAAAACCAGAGTCACCCACAGCCTGTAAGGCACTGGAAAGGGCAGTTCAGTGGTACCTGCCTTGCTAGAAACATGCAGGAAGAGATGAGTCACTATTTTACTTCTGTTTAGAACTCTCCCCATCTCAACCCTCCATGTCCCAAAGCAACGTTATCTTCCTGATCCTATCACTTTATCCACCACCACCACCCCTCCCCCCCAAAAAAGGTGTGGAACAGGGTCAAAATGCTAAGGGACTGGGATAAGAGACACGAGAAAGAGGAAAGACTTAGAACCCATTTGATTAGCAGAAAGAGATACTGGGGTAGGGGGTGTGATTTACCCGGAAGAGAGGAATAAATAACTAGACTTACAACTAGCAAATAATGACGAAGATCCAAGTCCCTTTCCCTCTCTTGGACAGTCTCCCATAATTTCCAAAGCTTTTACAGTAAAAAAAAAAAAAAAAAAAAAAGGCAAAAACACATAGCTCCCTAGAGATATTAATGAAAATGATTCCGTGGGAGCAAGGGTAATGAAATAGATAGGATTCCAGGACTATCGCTATTCCCTGAGATCCCGGCTGGCAGCAATGGGCACCTGCGGAAAGCTATCCTCCCGGACAGGTAGGAAAGGGGACGCCAGCCTCCTGGGGGCACAGGGTGGACGAGATGGTGGTCCTGGGCAACGTTATGGAAAGCAACTCCATTCCTCACAAACTTCTTGGACTTGCAGCCTGACTTCCTCCCCAGGAGGGAAAGTTTATCGCCATCCGCCTAAGGTCAAGAAGGGCATACTCATGGGAAGTCCTAACTCCCTGGAAAGTGATAAAGCAACAGGGTAGAGCGACAGGCTCTCTGGACGGAGAAAGGCCGGCCGAGAAAACCAACTCCGGGCCCAGGGACCACGGGGCCTGGCCCCCGCAGGGGCACACGGCCAGGGGGGACGGAAGGCAGGTAGGGCCCAGCCAGGTAGCACTCCCGAGAGGAAGGATTATTCGGTGACACCGGGCCGAGGGCCCAGCGGGAGGGCTGGGCGGGAGGAAAGTTAGCAGGTGAGAGCGCCCAATCCGGGGGAAGGAAGTGACCTTTAGGAGAAGCAAATAAAACCCAGAAACACGGCGGGAAGGGGGAAGGGTAACAGGAGAAAATGGACTCAGAAAAGCACCGAGGACCCAGACGGAGAAGGTGTGTTGGGGTAATAACAGAGGAGGAAGAAAGGAAGTGGGGTGAGAGCAGAGAGATGGGGAGCTCCGCCTGGGCTCCGGGGGCGCAGGGCAGAGCGCGGGGGCCGGGGGCGGAGGGAGGTCCGAGATGGCCGGGCCAGAGGCGCGGGGCCGGGGGCCGGGGGACACGCCGGGCTCCCCGAGGTCCTGGAGGGGTAGGAGGAGGTCGGGCTGTGGAGCCCGGGACCCAGGAAAAGGAGAAAGCGAGGCGCGGGGGCGGCTCCCGAAAGCCAGGCGTGCGTCCCCGGGGCCGGCGGCGATCCCCGCGGGGAAGCTCCGGGTCCGGAGGGCGGTTGCCGGGCCGGGCTGAGGGAGCGGGGTGGGAAGGACACTCACAAATTTCTTGGATTTGCCGCCGTCGCCGCCCGCCGCGGGCAGCTCGTCCGGGCTCCGGCCCTTCTTCTTGTCCCGAGTCCCGCGGCCGGGCCCCAGGCCCCCGCCGGGCGGCTCCATGTCCAGGTTCGCTCCGGCCGGTCACCCCGCGCCCACACCGCTCCCACCGGCAGCGCCCAGCCCGCAGCCGCCGCCGCCGCCGCCCAGCAGCTCAGCCGGCCGCCGCGCCCCGCCTCATTAGCATGCCGGCTGCGCGCGCCTCATGAATATACAACGGCGACGCCTCGCTCCCGCCCGCCTGCCCCACTTCCGCCCGGACCCGCAGCCCCTACCAATGAGTGGAGGGAGGGGGTGGAGGGAGGCCGCGGAAGCTCGCTACCTGCCCCGCGGGCCTAACCATTCGCACCCACGTGGGGGGTGACGAGGGGGCGGTGCAGCCTCTCGGTGGCCGCAACCGCGAACGTCGCCCTCTGCTGGCGGAAGCGGCGCAGGCCTCCCCACTCACTCCCACGCAGAGACCACGTGGCTGTAAAGCCTGGACCTTCTCATCCCTCAGACCTCGGGCGTTATGTGAATCAGAAATCAAATGAGACTGTTATCTTGGCAAAAATGTAGTGCCAAGATATTAGTTTTCATGTGCACAATATCCATGAAGCATGGGGATGGGGGGGAGAGAAGGGGTGGAAAGTGGCAGTTAACCCTTTATTAAAAGCTATGTACCAAAAACAGAGTGATAGATGGAACTTGACAAGCTCTGGAGTTACACTACCTAGTTTTGAATCCAAAGTTTGCTACTTTCTAATTGTTTCTAATACAGATAAACTAGTTATAGCCAATGTGTGCCAGAACAGTAATGTCACCCTTTACCTGCACTTGCTCTATGCCAGGCACTATATAAAACATTCTACAGGTATCTTTTCACTGAATCCTCACAGTGCTATGTCATAGTTTCCTTTAGCCTCACCACTATACCAACAGGAAATTTGGACTTTAAAGCTAGTGACTTGCCCAAGGACACATAATTGATAAAAAATAAAAATAAAAAAAAGTTAGTCTGACTGCCAAGCCCTATGTTTAACCAGGATTCCCTACTAACATAAACCAAACCTGAGTGAAAATCACAGGTGTTCTCCAGGAGTACATTATTTGCTCTACTAGTTTGATTTCCTCAGTAGTTTCTTCTCTCAGCTACAAGTGTTCCTTGAATTAAAAGTATGTGGCACTCAGTGGGCCCTCAAAGTATAGACTGAATTATCTTGCCCAGCGCCAGCAAAAGATTTCAAATGTATGTTCCTGAGAGCAGATTCAGTGATTCTCACTCTGCAGACCCCAGTGCTCAATCTAGGGACTAAGATTACAGGGTCTCTGCAAAGCTGGCTATCTTAGAAATCTCTTACATTCCACTCTCTAATTGCCTGATGAAAATTTGCAATAGAGCTGACCAGCCCACACTTCAAACTCAATTTGTCCAAAACAGTTCAAAAGCTATTTTACAATACTTTCTAAGCTAGAGTTGAGAAACAGACAATATTAAAGCATGGAAGAGCAAATACTCTTCTTTCTTGTAACGCTGTCTACATCTGCATTTATCTCACTCCTTACTGGACTGTAAACTTCTCCAGAGAAGGGTCCATGTTTGTGACTACTAGCATCGTTTCTTCACATACAGTTAAGATGCTGAGAAACTATTTGTCAGGCACTGTGCTAAATAAGCACTTTTCTCTCTCTGCATCCTCACCAGCTAACATCACCATTCCAAACACCCAGGTTCAAAAAGCTGAAGTCCTCTTCCATCCCCTCTCTTTAGTAATCTGCCCATGTTTGTCTAACTCTTAACCAGAAGGCTCTATCAACTCCCTATATATGAGCAAAATAGTCCATGCAGATTACATATACAGGGCCTAACATAAGCTAGGTGCTGAGTGAGTGTCAACTAAGATTTTTATTACATACTTCATAACCCCCCTTCCTCTGCCTTCACACATAGGTAGCTAGTCACAGAAAGACAAAAGGTACAAAAAAATACCAACTTGGTTTATTGGATAAAAACAGTGGTAAAATGAACATAAAGCCAAAACTTAGAACAGGACATTTTCACATCCTCCTGTGCAACATATTTGTACTTGCCATCATCTGGGGATAAGGGGTTAAATAAGCTCTGGCTCTCTAAAACCCCTCACTCTTCACTGCACTGGAAGGAAGGCTTGCAGTAGAACCCATGAGAGGAGGAAGCCAGAGGCAACCTCAGTCCTGATTACTCCTTCATCGCTAGAAGTCTCTGAGCTAGAGGGAAGCAGGGAAGGGATAAGGAGGCCAGAAGGGCTGGGACTGGCATCCAGGGCCCACTGCCCAAGATGTTCTACAGAGAGCTATCCTTATCCCATCCAATCCCAAATAGGTACCATTGTCAGGCCTTAGGAGGGAGAAGAAAGGAGATAGTTGGTTTGAGAACCAGATGTGGTCTCCGAACAGTCCCCCATCATTGGTAAAACCACTGAAGGCAACAGGTCCAGAGCGCGGGGACCCACACCTCTTTCCTCCCACCCAAGGTAAGAAGGAATTCCTTGGGGACACAGCAAGCCCAGCTGCTCTTAAATCTCCACATCGCTTTCCTTGTCGTTGTCATGGTCTCCGTCATAGAACTCATTGGGTGCCTCTGGCCTGCAAAGCAAGGGGAGAGAGGTGAGGGCTCCACTCTTCAAGCTCCAACATTTTCCCACAGTGGCACCCTCTCTGGAGCCACGTCTTTTTTTTTTTTTTTTTTTAATATTTTATTGATTTTGTACAGAGAGGAAGGGAGAGAGATAGAGAGTTAGAAACATCGATGAGAGTCATCGATCAGCTGCCTCTTGCACACCCCCCACTGGGGATATGCCCGCAACCAAGGTACATGCTCTTGACCGGAATCGAACCGGGGACCCCTCAGTCCCCAAGCCGAAGCTCTATCCATTGAGCCAAACCGGTTCCGGCTGGAGCCACGTCTTAAACCCCTTTGTCAGGGAAGCACTCCTCCCCTTCTATTAGTAGAGACGATCACTAGTATTCCTCCATTCATGTAGTCAGTAAGCATTTATTGAGATTACTCTGTGCTAGCACTGTCATGAGCCTTAGCAATACAGTAGAGAATAAGCCAGACAAAATTTCTGACAATCCCTAAAAACTTACCTAATAAATGAGACTGACAATCACTAACAAAGTAAATAAGTAAATGTGATAATTCCAGATAACGAAGAGTACATGAATAAAATGAAATAAAGGGAGATGTGACAGAAAGTGATGAAGGAAACAAAATTTTCACAAAGGATTATTAGGGAAGGCTGTTCTAAGAAAGTAAGACCTGAAGTTTGAGAAGGAACTGGCTAAAGATCTCAGGAAGACCATTCTGAGCTGCAAAAAAATACCCACCAAGTACCAAAGTTATAAAGGTGAAAGGACCAGTAAGAGCAAGGAAACCAGGGTGTCTGGGAACAGTGAGCATGAAGGAGAGCTGTTAAAAGATGAGACCAGGATGTTAGTAAAGGGCCAGCATGCAGGGCTTTTTAAAAGCATGGTCAGAAATTTGGATTTCCCTCTAAGTGCAATGAAAAGGAGTTTTTACTCAGCCGTTATGACTCAGTGATGATCATTGGCTTATCCAGGAGATCATGGTTCAATTCCCGGGCAGGGCAAATGCCCAGATGTTGGCCAATCCCCAGTGTGGGGTGTGCAGGAGGCAGCCAATCAGTGATTCTCTCTCATCATTGATGATTCTCTCTCTCCCTTTCCCTTCCTCTCTGAAATCAATAAAAATATATATATTTTTTTAAAAAAAGGAAAAAGGGAGAATGTCATCAAAGAGAAGCTGGACAACTAAGTCAGAAAAAGCCCTACCTGACTAGTAAGCAATGTCTCAGTTACTTTTAAGCACACAAGGGTTCAGCCTGTGGAGTCAGACACTCTGGTTTGAATGTCAGCCCTGATAATAAACTAGCTGTGGAACCTTCAAAAAGTTATTTAACCTTTCTGAGCTTTAGAATCTTCCTCTAGATTGTCTGATGGCAACAGGATGATGATATATACGAATTGCTATAAGCACTTAGTATTGAGTTTGATGCTTAGCAAACCCACAAAAAGTGGTAACTCTTATTACCACTATTCTGCAAATAATACACAAACTGGAGACATCAAAGAACAGGAACTCAGTGGGCAGTCTGAAAGAGAGGTAGGACTTAACGACAGGAAGAAGCCTGAGGCTTCGGCTAGCTGTTGAGAGGGGAGGATATAATGCAGAGACTAGGCTCAGATATCAGACTAGAATTATAGATGAAAAGGTCACACTTTGCCAAAAGGAAGAATGTAATCAAAGCTGTTTACCGTTTTGTGTTTTTGTTTTTTTTTAAGAAAACGAAAGTCAATTTCTAGAATTTAAGCCTCAATGACCTGGAGAGGTTGAGAAGGAGATGATGGGTCAAAAAGGAATTCCTGAGGCCAGAGGTTCAGATACTTCCTCAACCACGAGTGGGAATATGGGAGCATTCACAGAGGAAGAAGGCTGTAGTAGTCCCAAGGGTCCAAGCAGTGAAGCCCAGCTCCAGAGGATGCATCTGGAAGCATGAACTCTAAGAGAAGCAGATTCTGGAAGGCACTGAGAAGCCCATCAGACTCTGCAGCAGAGCCAGTTCAAACCTCTAGCACTGCATGGACCAGGACCAGATGTCCTGCAAGTGTCCAGCTGTGGTTATCCTTCAGTCACATAAGTAAATCTGTTCTCCATTAAGTCCATCTGTTTCTGCACTTCTGGTTTCTATTGTCTTTCCCCTTCATTTTTCAGAGAAGCCTACTTGAGATTAAAAATAAATTCTATGCTAGTCTTTCCCCCCCCTAATTCACTGCATCTGTAAATGTTTTAGTATCTATCTCAGAAAGATAACGGCTTTTTAAAAAACCACAATACAATTATCATACCTAAAAGAATTATTGTAATAAAGGAAAGAAATCAAAGGGTCTTAGAGAGCAGTATATGGGCAGTGACCTGTCTAGCTCAAAACCTGGAAGTAAGATGCTGGCAAGAATATAAACTGTTACAGACTTTTTGGAAGGCAATTTGGCAGCAAATATTTAACAATTTAGCACACATAGCCTTTGACTGAGCAGCAACAATTCTAGGAATCTAATCTGCTCAAATAAGCAAGCAAAGATGTACATGAAAGGGGGGAAAGGGAGCCATTGCCACATTCTTTGTAAATAATGAAAAAAATGGGAAATATGTAAATGTCCATCAATGGTACTTGGTTAAATGAGGCTACATCCACACAATGGAATAGTATAGAGCTGATAAAATAATGAAGCAGATATATATATATTGATATGGGAAGATACATATATATATTGATATGGGAAGATACATGTTGCTTTGTAAAAAAACAGAAAGAACCAGTTGTAAGAGATGTAAGTTGTAGAGCAACCCATAAAGAATGACCTAATTTCTATTAAAAAAACTTTGAGAATGAGTGTATATGTGCATTTTTTGTTTATCTGTACATATACTTAATCTATAGAGAAAAATCTATCTGAAAAGATACAAATCAAACTGTTACTTTGTGGAATGGGTTTGGATTTTGTAAATGCAAACTTAACATATTTTGGTGCTGTTTAAAACTTATAATATATGTTGCTCATGTCATTAAAAACAGAGAGAAAAAAAAAGTGTGAAACAGCAGCAGACTGAAAAATAGGCATACTATAGGAAGTAAGCCAGGGAAAATTAAGCTAAGGTCTCAGTTTACTTTTCCCCTCTTCACCTCCCTGACAATCCCTCTAGAATCCCCTCTCTCATCCCTGCCCCAGACCTGCTATAGTTCTCCTCAGGACCCCTCTCCTCTGCATCAGCCTCATCAGTCCTGTCATAGGTCAGGAGGTCTGCGGGCACATCGTGAATCTGGACACTAGGTGCATGGTTCAGCATCTTCAGGTTTTCAAAGATTGTCTGGCGGATCTGGTCCAGATACTGGTTGGAGTGAAGGAATAGAGAGTGAGCAGCTCACAGTGATTGAGGGCATCCACCCTTCCAGCTGCCTTTCACCCCATCATCCTAGTTTTAATCCCATTTTTAATTCTAGTTTGAGTACACCAACTGAGAAGTGTTCCTACTTCCACGCCCAACTGCCTCTACTGTAACCTGTTTAGAATCCTCCTCCAGCTGATATCAGTGAGAGTGATGGTTGATAACTTTCTTCCGTGGTTTCTCTGATTTCCCACATCCTGGACCACTCCCCACCCTTGTGCTCAGCTTCTCCAAACTACTGACCTGGCGCGAGTTCTGATTCTCGATGCGGGTGCTGACATCTGGATGGAGCGTGAAATCTGGGGCAAAGTACTCAAAGTATTCTTAGGAGGGAAAAGATTTGACGGAGAGAGTATGGCTCAGTCAGACAATCAGGTCCCAAGACTTCCCAATCTCTTTCCTTCCCATCCAAAATCCCTACATTATAGTTGCCTAATCTTTTCACTGTTCTGAGCTCAGGGGTTAGTCTATAGAGCTCTGAGAATGTCAGTTTCCTCTCTGCCTTCAAGCCAGGCCATTGTGAGAACAGCCTTTCTGGTGTCGGGGTAAGATGGGGTGGTCCTTACCACTATAGGGGAGCTCCTCACTAATGGCCTCCTCTACCAGCAGCGATGTCTCATACGTCCTGAAACCAACCAGCAGAAGGGGGCAGGCTGAGCAAGTGGCCTCAAGGGCCCACCTTGCTGACCCTCAGGGAGCCCCCAGCTCACACTGGACAAAGGGGAAAAGGAAAATTAGGGAATGTGCTTACCAGCACCGGGCAACATTTCGGACAGTATAACCACCACCACCTAGCACCAGGAGAGGAATATTGAAGCTCTTGACATATTCGACGCATTCCCTATTAAAAGAAACCAAAGGAATTAAGTAAAGGTAGTTATGAAAAGCCAACGAACACCCCTCTTGGTATTGTCTGGAAAGGGGCACAAGGAAACTAGATAGGTTCTATATCTTGATCTAGGCAGTGAAATTTATTTAGTTAAATCCTTGAGATATGTGTACTTATTGTATTTCTGTGTCTCAAAAAAAAAATCTAAAATAAAGTGCACTCCTGTTCTACACACCCATCCTGGCACCCTACCTGTTAATCATCTATTCTCATCCATGCCCCAGCAAAGGCTATCACTTCTAAGCCATAATATAACTCAAATCATCCACTTCTCTCCATCGCTACCTCCTCTACCTCAGCCCAGCACCACATATCCAGCCTAGACAACACCAAGAGCTCCCTAACTGATCTTCCCCTTCCACTCCCGTCTCCCTAAACCCAAACCTTTCTCCAAGCAGCAGTCACAGCAGTCACTTTAAAACATGGCAGTTCTGCCAAAACCGGTTTGGCTCAGTGGTAGAGCGTCGGTCTGTGGACTGAAAGGTACCAGGTTCGATTCCGGTCAAGGGCATGTACATTGGTTGTGGGCACATCCCCGGTGTGGGGTGTGCAAGAGGCAGCTGGTCGATGTTTCTCTCCCATCGATGTTTCTAGCTCTCAATCTCTCTCCCTTCCTCTCTGTAAAAAATCAATAAAATATATTTTAAAAAATAATAATAAAATAAAACATGGCACTTCCCTGCTTCATATATTTCAATGATTTTCCAGTAATAATAATAATCTAGACTCCTTACCAGGTCCAAAGGCTCTATTCAGCCTCACCACTGCTCACCTATCAGACCTCACATACACCACCGCCAGCTTACTCCATGTTCTTGCCTCACTAGTTTTACTTCACATCCTCTCCACACCAGCTCTTCCCGGCCTCACAGCCTCTGCGTGGGCCCTGCCCACCGCGTGGGACAGCACTCTCTCTGCTCTTCCTCAGGGCTCCCTCCTGTTAGCCTTCAGGTTCTCAATCCAAATTCCAACTCCTCAGAAAATCCTTTCCACATCGTACTATCCACAAGTAGGCTCCCCACTGCTATCCTGTACTTCAGCTTCCTATCTTTTCCTTTCATAGGATTTATAACTATCTACCTGGTTTGCCTCTCACGTTTGTCTGTTTCCTACACTAAACTGTCAAGTTCATGGGAGTTTCCCCATTGTGTCCCCATCTCCTGTACAGTGTCTGGAACATAACAGGAGCTTAATAAAAACCTAGTGAGGATAAATAACCAGCTGGGGAACCCTGTTTAAGGTGACCTTTCTGGTTCAAGTGCAATTTGGCACTATTTTTTATTCTCAAGAAGAGGTAAGACCCGCTTTTCCACGACCCCCTCTCTTGTGTTGAGGTTCAAGGCCACTTGAAAACCCGTGGGAGTCACAGGAGGGTAAGTCTCACCCGTGTCCTCGAATGCTGAGGTTGAAGCAGCCCAATCGGTCACAGCCCAGGGAGTCAGCTCCACACTGCATAAAGCAAAAGCGCAGGCAGCTGGGTGAGATAACTGATCAGAATGTCCCAGGTGTGCTTCCCTTCTTCCCTCCCCTTCCCCACCCACTCTTTCCTGCTCGCTTCTCCCAAACCTAGGAAGAGCCCTCCTAATCAGGCACGGGCAGTATTACCTGAAGAACAATGCATGTGGGTTGGTAGAAGTCCACCACCTGGTTGATAACCGGCTGGAAAAGGTGCTTGTAACCTGGGAGAGGGCCAAAGATGGGTACCTGGCACCCCAAGGGGATGGGGAGACAGGGAACAAAAGGAAAAAGGGGGTTGAGAGAGCATATAGCCCAGGAAAGAGGCAACCCAAGGAAACAACCATTGGTTCTGAACTTCTGGAGGGGTCCCAGACCCCTTGGAGTGATGGATGAAAGCTAATGACCCTTTTCCCAGAAAAATGCACATACACATAATGTGTTGTATAGTTTCCAGGAGGAGGAAGGAGGATGGTGGTGGCTCATGGTCCTTTTGAAGGCCATTCATCCTGAAGGATACCTGGCCTAACAGCAGGCAATACCAGGCAGAAGAGGTTAACTCAAGGAGAGAAAGAAGGGGCCCAGTGAGCAGGGAGAAGACTTCAGTACTTACTCTGGTCATCAATGCCATCCCGCAGGGGTACATTGAGACAGTAGTAGCGGCCACTCTCTGCTCCAACTTCATACATGTCACCTACAGGAAGTGGGAGGTGGGGGCTAGCAGCCACACATGGGAGGCATCCACCACACAACTGCTTCAACCCAACCAACACTGAGGGCCTCTCCTTCCATTTGCATAACTGCACCACTCACTCCATAGAGCCAAGTCCCTTGCAACTTGCATTCATTCAACAAATACTTTTTAAGGGCCTACTAGGCACGGGGGATATAGCAATAAAGAGAATTAATGAAATGTTGGAAATACCACTAAGCTTATATTTTTGTGAGTAAACATAGTAAGGGAGACAGTAAACAAAACAAAACACCACAATAAATACAAACAGCAGTGAGTGCTCGGTGAGAAACAAGCAGAGGGATGTGAGAGTAGTGGGCAAGGAGGTGAGTAGTTAACTGGGTGGTTGGGAGAGGCTTCCCTGAGGAGGAGCAGCAGAGCTGAGACCTGAAGGCTGAGAAGGAGCAGTCACGGTAAAGAGCTGAGGGGTGCGGAAGGGACGGGCATTTCTACTCCGTACCTGTGCCGGGGAAGAAGTAGTTTCCATATTTGTGGAAGGACACTGTCATGACCCGGTCAGTGAGGTAGAAGGCTTCCTGGACCCCGTCACCATGGTGGATGTCAATATCAATGTAGAGCACCCGAGGGTGGTACCTGGGGTGAGGGCAAAGACAGGGTCTGAGGCAGAGGTGGACTCCAGGAAGAAAACCCCAGCCACTCCTCCCAAACACAAGGTCTGGGATTATCAAGAGTCTGCTCTGCCCAATTGCACCAAAGTCACCTGAAACCTAACACCACCAGTTCCCTAAGGGCAACCCTAGGGCTCCAGCCCAGATGCAGGGACAGGAGAGGGATGTGCAGAGAAGGATGAGATGTAAACAGGCAACAGGGAATGTGCAGCAGAGCACAGGAAGAGGCAGCCTGGGCAAAGCATGAAGAATTGGGAGAAGCAAGTATGGGGATGGAGATCTGTGTCAGGGCCAGGACAGTCTGAGATCTCGTCAGCTGAGAGTCTCATTAAGTCCCTCCATCGTCTCCCAGGTTACTCACTTGAGCAGCTCCAGGATGCCAATCACAATGTCATTGACATAGCAGAAGCCAGAAGCCTATGGCAAGACAGTGGTCTTGTAAAGGACGGAACAATTCCTCCACCCAGCTGTCCCCTACTGTCATCCTGACCAACCTTAGAGTAGCTATGTCTCCCCCATCACCTCCTCACTCACCTCAAACTTCTTGGCATGGTGCAAACCTCCAGCCCAGTTAATGGCAATGTCACAGATCTAAAAAACAAACACCCAACTCACAGTCCTCCTGCCCACCCCCAGAGACGGGAGCTCATGGTCAGGGTCAAGCCCCGAGTCCAGTCAGCCACAGACAGGGAGAAAGGGACTCAGGGCTGTGGTCACCTTGTTGTTCAGCTGGGTTGCTCCTTGCAGAGATGCGCCTGTGTAACGGGAACAGAACTCAAAGAGTCCGGGAAACACTGGGCTGCAGGGAAGAGGAGAAAGTTGAAGCCATTTTATCTCTGTCCAGACCTCCCAACACCTCTCTCCCAATCCAAACCCCTCCAACGTCCATTCTTTAATAAGCTGCTCTCCCGCTCCCACATGCTCAAGTTACCTGCAAATGTATTCAACAATTTTTTAAATAAATTTTTAAAAATATATATTTTATTGATTTTTTACAGAGAGGAAGAGAGAGGGATAGAGTCAGAAACATCGATGAGAGAGACTCATCGATCAGCTGCCTCTTGCACACCCCCTACTAGGGATGTGCTCGCAACCAAGGTACATGCCCTTGACTGGAATCGAACCTGGGACCTTTCAGTCGGCAGGCTGACATTCTATCCACTAAGCCAAACCGGTCTCAGCTATTCAACAAATATTTTGGACCAAATCGTGTATCAAGCCCTGATGGGAAGTAAAGAAGGATTTAACTCTGTCAGGAAGTTTATACCCTCGCTGGAGAGAGAAGCAGGCAGCTTCTAGGTACTTGAGCATACACACAAAGAGGAAACAAGTTGTAAGAGAACACTGAGCTCTATTTTTCTTAAAAGACTTTTCTGTATCACATTTTAAAAAAAGTTATCTTCCTATAGTATACACAAAATAGTAATAATGATGAAATAACACACAGCCTTTAACACAGTGTGGAACCCAGTAAGCCTTTAATAAATGTCAGCTATCATTAATAGCATCTTCATTTTTTATTAAAAAAAAAAAAAAGAGGCTTGAAGCCAGACACAAATGGCTACATACTATGCAGCTCCATTTAAATGACACTCTGAAAAGGCAAAATATAGGGACAGACCTCAGATCAGTAGTTGTCTGGAGCAGTGGTCGGCAAACTCATTAGTCAACAGAGCCAAATATCAGCAGTACAACTACTGAAATTTCTTTTGAGAGCTGAAAACCGACTTCTGCAAATGGGCTATGAAGTTTCAATCGCACATGGTATTTTGTGGAAGAGCCACACTCAAGGGGCAAAAGAGCCGCATGTGGCTCGTGAGCTGGTTTGCCGACCACTAGCCTAGAGTTAATGTAGAGAGAAGGGATTAACTTCAAAAGAACATGAGGAACCTTTGGGGGATAAATGACCTTGTTGTCAAAACTCTCAGAACTGTATACCTAAAAGGGATGAATTCTACTGTATGCAAATTATATCTTCATAAACTTGACCTTCAGCAAAAGAAATGCTTTAAAAATATCCCCTGCTTTAGGTCTCCAAGGAAATAGTGGAGTTGACACATTGGACTATGTGAAAAAGAAAATTGTAGGGAGTATTGTTTTGTTTTGTTTTGATTTCTTTATTGATTAAGGTGTCCTTTGGCTGATCTCTCCCCCATACCCCCACCCTCCCCTAGAGTGTTTTTTTAAAATATATTTTTATTGATTTCAGAGAGGAAGAGGGAGATAGAGGGAAACATTAATAATGAGAGTGAATCATTAATCGACTGCCTTCTGTACACCCCCTCCTGGGGACTGAGCCTGCAATCCGACCATGTGCCCTTGACTAGAATTAAGCCTTGTCCACAGACCAACACTTTATCCATTGAGCCAAACAGGCTAGGGAGGGAGTGTTTTGTTTGTTTTTTTAAATATATATTTTTATTGATTTCAGAGATGATTGGAGAAAGGAACATCAATGATGAGAGAGCCTCCTGCACACTCCCTATTGGGGATTGAGCCTGCAATTTAGGCATGTGCCCTGACCAGGAATCAAACCGTGACCTCCTGGCTCATAGGTTGACACTCAACTACTGAACTACACCGACTGGGTATAGAGATTTTTATAGATTCTCAGAGTTTGAGCAGAATTTGTGATTGACACCTAGACAAGTAAGCAAATGAATAAACAATGAAATTATCAGCTCCAGGAAAAACAAAAACTTATATAAGAAAATTATTAAAATCATAGTATACTATTTGTCTCAATGGTAAATTAATTTTTCAAAATTAAAAAAAATATAAACAAAGGCCGAGACTGGTTTGGCTCAGTGGATAGAGCGTCGGCCTTTGGACTGAAAGGTCCCGGGTTCGATTCCAGTCAAGGGCATGTACCTTGGTTGAGGGCACATCCCCAGTAGAGGTGTGCAAGAGGCAGCTGATCCATGTCTCTCTCTCATCGATGTTTCTAATCTCTATCTCTCTCTCTTCCTCTCTGTAAAAAATCAATAAAATATATCTTTAAAAATATATATTATATATATATAAACATAGAATACTTATTTAATAAAAAATGTTATATAACTATATTCTGAAGATAGGAGGGAAGGGGAAGCCAGGTGATGTATAAGGAGACTAAATGCTCATCTTCAATTCTAAGAGTTTAATAGACCATTGCTAAATTAAGAAATATCAATATGAGCAACTTATAAGAAACAGTATAGGAAAGTAACATGGTTAACAGCCTAGATTCTGGGGCAACTACCTAGGTTCAAACCTTGACTCTTTAACACCTAATGATTGTGAGTCTGGGCAAGATAAAGCTTTCTGTGCCTAAGTGTTCTCATCTGTAAAAAGAAGATAGTCATAGACCCTGATTCGTAGGGGTAGTTGAGACTAAATGAGCTAATGACTGCAAAGCATTTAGAATAGTACCTGACAAACAATAGGCATTACCTAAGTATATTACACATTAGTAACTAGTAAATTAATATTATTATTTTGAAGTGCAAAGATAAGTGGCAGAAGAACTAGCTAAAGAAGCTAAAAGTGGCTGCCTCTGGAGAGAGGGATCTATAAGTGGAAGGGACAGTTCTGGGACTGGTTTATTGTTTGTTTCCCCCCCCCATTAAAAGCCTTGTAGTATAATTTAGCTTTTATATTAGATTGCTTTGAAAACCGTCAGAAGTTAATTGAAAGGAAAAGCTCTCATTCTCATCTGAAATACAGATAAGCACGTGTGACAGTAGGATGCCGCACAAAGGGTCCCCCAGGAGCATTCCCTCAGTGCACAACGGCTTTCCCGGCCCCAGCTGTGGCCTGAGGGCTGACTCTGCATTTGCAGACCTATAAAGTGAAGTCAGAAATAGCAGCAGCAGCAATAACAAAAAACCAAGAAACCACCCAAGGCAACATGTGACTGAACACCAAATGACAGTGCGATGTGCAGGACAGACCTCTGCGGCTGCAGTGGTCAAGACAGGCTGTGTGGTGTGAAACTCCCTGGTGGTGTGAAGGCTGGTAAGGCCTTGGAGAGGCTGGTGTCAGTTTCTCCAGCCCAGGCTACTTCTATTGATAGGATATTTTAGGAAAACAGATTAGGGTATAATAGTATTTTATTTATTTATTTATTTATTTATTTATTAATATATTGTATTGATTTTTTACAGAGAGGAAGGAAGAGAGATAGCTAGAAACATCGATGAGAGAGAAACATCGACCAGCTGCCTCTTGCATACCCCCTACTGGGGATGTGCCTGCAACCAAGGTACATGTCCTTGACGGGAACCAAACCTGGGACCTTTCAGTCCGGCGCAGACCAAAGCTCTATCCATTGAGCAAAACCGGTTTCAGCCTAGGGTAGTATTTTAAAACCTGGGCTCTGGTTCTGAATTCTGCCACCTCCACTGACCAGTTATGTGACTCAGGCAAGTTACCTAAATCTCCTCAAACTTCAGTATACCCAAAAGCAGGAAAAGGACTATCACATTTCAGGGTTAGTGTGAGAAGTGGATGTAGCAGCAATCCTCTGCATTGCAGAGTAAGCACTCAAAAAATGGTAGCTATTGTAGGAAACTCTACAGGATCAACAGCCTGGTCTCTTCAAGAATTAAATTCAGGGGAAAGAAATGTTATAGATTAAGAATTTTAAGAGACATTATCAACCAAATGTAATCCTAATATAAATCAATCAAGTGCAATACAGGAAAATTATAAGAAATAGAAAAAAATGTGAATATTGATTGCACGCAACTCTGATGATATTAAGGAATTACTGCTAAATTTTTAGGTGTGGTAGTAACATTGTGCATTTTTAAAGAGGATCATTTAGAGATACATAAAGTATTCACAGATAAAAGAATATGATATCTGAGAATTTTTGTTAGAAAGGAAGGGCGAGGGAGAGAAAAACAGCCAACAGCTGCCTCGAATGGAACCAGCAACCTTTGGGTGCACAGGATGACACCCAACTGAGCCACACCAGCCAGGCTGGGAATTGTTTTAAATCTAAGGTGATCCCTGCAGGGTGTTTGTTGGTTGGAGTGTCATCCCATGTTTGATCCCCACTCAGGGCATGTGAGGGGGTCAGCCATTGCCTCCTGATAGATGTTTCTCTATCATATCAATGTCTTTCTCTCTCTCTCTCTTCTTCTCTTAAATCAGTAAAAAAAAAAATAACATCCTCAGGTGACAATTAAAAATAAATTTAAAAAAATGATAACCAGCTGAAACCGGTTTGGCTCAGTGGTAGAGCGTCGGTCTGCGGACTGAAAGGTCCCAGGTTCGATTCCGGTACATTGGTTGCGGGCACATCCCCGGCAGGGGGTGTGCAAGAGGCAGCTGGTCGATGTTTCTCTCTCATTAACGTTTCTAGCTCTCTATCTCTCTCCCTTCCTCTCTGTAAAAAATCAATAAAATATATTAAAAAAAAAAGATAACCTAAAGTGAGGGGATATAGATGAAAATTTGCTTACAAGTGTTGCAGCTGCATGATGAATGTATGGAGTTTGCTGTACTATTCTTTCAGAAATGTTTGAAATTTTCCCTAATAAAAAGTTTAAAAGTAAACTGAGTAAATGGTAGCTTTTATGGTCACTCTTTTTCATGGGTGTATACTCTTTTACATGGGTGTAAGCAAGGATCAGGGCTTATTTTTCTTATCCATTCCCTTTCCCAAAGGGTCTAAATTTTCTTGGTATGGTACAAGCCCAATCATGTAAACCTGATCACAACTACCCACTCTCTTGCTTTTTCAAACACTTTGAAGGCTTGCCTCTCTTCTAGGGATAAAAACTCCAATTCATCATAGGGCTGTCTATTTTTTAAAGGCCCTGCCTATCACTGCAGCCTCAATTCAGATCACTCTTCTCTTCATATTCTGTGGTTGGCCATTTTTGTTCCTCAAATGAGTCATATTCTATCCTACCACAGACCCTAGCACATGTCATCCCTACTGCCCATGACATTCCTCCCCTCACTCTCTCCTCCCAACCATTGTTACCTAATTACCTCTTACTCTTTCTTTTCAGATCTCAGCTCAATATTTATTATTTCCTCCAGGAAGCCTCCACTGCGAGACTCCCAAAGCTGGGTAATTCTCCCTCATATATACCCTCATATGCTGTCATGTACCCTTCCTTTATGGGACTCACCACAACTATAATATTAAAATTTTGCTATTGTTGATCATTGCATCCCCAGTATTTGGCACAGGGCCTGGCCTATAAATGACCAATAAATATTTATTGAATAAACCAATGAGTAAATGATGACTCGCTGACTCAGCATCTCCCCACTTACTGCCTCCAAGACCTCACTCAAGTGTTCTCCTTGAAACGCCTGGCACCAAAAGTCCTATCTTCTCACCAGTCATCGCCCACGTTGAAGGCGTTAAGGCTCTTGGTGAAGCCTTGCATGTTGGTGGGGCTCACTCTCTGCAGGAAGTCAATGTAGTCCTCAGAGTGGAAGCGGCACATGTCATGCTGGGAGGCCTGGTATGGCTTGAAGACCTCAGGACAGAAACACAAGGTGAATCCAGGCAGGGTGAGTCTCAATCATGGAGCTGAGACCACCCACACTGGGGATCACCCAAAACCACACCTGCAGTACCCTTACCCCGAGTCCTTGTTATGCTGAGGCAGGAGAGAGGCTCTGATAGGCTGGGTGGTTTGTTAGGATCAAGCCCCCTAAAGACCACTGGGTGGTTTGTTAGGATCTTCTAAAGCCCAAAGTACCCGGGGAGGGGGGATGTGGGGGAGGGGGGTGTCTCATACTTCTTTAGAAACTGGGCAAAACCAAAAAGACTTTCTCTCCCCCAAAAATGTACATGCCAGCAAAAGATTTCAGGAATTCATAGATTCATGCACCAACATCACCTCAATCTCTTCTGTGACCAATTTACTGTCTGTGGCTCAGCACAAGCCGTGGACACTCATTCATACGTTAACTAATTCCCCTTGCAACGCATGAGGGCTGAGCTTAACTGTTTATAACCGCAAATCACAGCTACAAATTCCAAGCTAGGGACCGAAAGCATGTTTCCCTGGGAGATGAAGGGTTGGGTAGTGATTATCTGTGTGGGGGTATTCTAGGTTTAAAAAGTAATACCCAGAACATCTGCTATCCTCCACATACACGTTTACACACAGGGCTATGGTCCTCCCTGGAGCTTCAGCTCCTTGTTGGTGGAGACGGGTTGCAGAGGAGAAGGGATAGAAACTGAGAGTAAACCTCACATCCCCTTTCCCTTCTCTGAGGCTAAAAGCACTGCCCACACCCTAAAATTCTAGGAAGAAAAACATCTTCAAGTCTTCAAACCAGCCCCACTCCACCCTAATCCGTTAAGAGTTGGACCACCTGAGATCAAAGGGTGGCTGACCTAAGGTGAAAGAGTAACTCCCCTTAAATCGGTGCGTGCACTCACCAGCACTATGCATATGGGGGGAGGGGTGCTCCTGGTTCCTTCCATCCAGCCTGCCCCCACCCCCACCCCCACCCTCGGGTGGGTCTCCCTGGGTGAATTCAGTGCGGCCTACCTAGTTTAGGGCCGCAGCTCGGCCCCCCACCCTCAAACCCACAGTGGAGGCGGCGAAACTCACGATCATCTTCTTGTAGAGGCCATAGTGCAGGACCAGACTGTGGGTCAGTGCCAAGCGGTGAGGCTTCATAGGGTGCCCAGCCCCTGGGAGTAGAGAGTTCGTCAGTGGTGGTGGCCACCCCCCGGTCTCGAAACCTCCGCACCCCGAACCCGTCGGGTCCCACCACCTTGTCCCCTCACCGTAGTGGAAGTTGCCCACGTCCGGGTCGTAGAAATAGGCCACGGTTTTGGCCATGGTGCCCGAGGGACCAGGCCCCGCGCCTCAGCCGCCCGCCCGGCCGCCGGCCCCGCCTCCCGTCGTACGTACGTGCTGCGTCAGCACGTCGCCGGCCTCTGCGGGAACCGGGAACCCAGGCCCCACCCTCTATAGGCCACGCCCAAGACACGCCCCCTGCGGCTCTGTTCTGGGCGTGAGCGTCAGGGCTTGGGCAGAAGACAGGTAGCATCTGTCTTAGGATGCGAGGGCCGTTTCCTCCCAGGCGTGGGGTCAGATCTTTGAGAAACTGAGACTTCCCGTCCAGCCACCTGCCCTACACCGGGTGCCTGCCGTGGCCACCTCTCCAGACGGCTCCGGAGAGCCGGCCACGCAGCCCCGTCTCCGGTTCAGAAAGCCGGCTTCCCCCCGGCCCCCTGGGGAGATTCCTGGCTGTCCACTCGGCCTGGGTATCTAAGGGCGGGAGCCGCGCCAGGCGTGCCGGATAGACAAGAGGACACACTCCCCTGCCTGGCTGGCCACCCCACCCGGACCCAGGCTGAGCGCCGCACACTCCCGGGGGGGCCCGGCGCAGTCACGCGCCGCACACCACATTTGCGTTCACCAGCGCGCACGGCCCGCGCTCTCCGCCCCGCACACCTGCGCTCCGCCCCCTGGTCCTGGGCCGGCGACAGGCGAAGGCTATTGGGAACCCAGGGTGGCTGCGGCGGCGGCGCACGCCATCTGCCATCTCTTCTCCTTTCCGGGCCGGAGTTATCCGGAATCTGCCGCTGCTCCCAGCCAGGCTGCATCCCTCTCTATCCTTCCCTCCCCCCCGGCTGCCGCGGCACCGGTATCTGCAGCCGCAGCCCGGAGCCGGTGAGGTGGCGAAGGGGGGAGGGGAAGGAAGCGAGGGATGAGAGCCGGGAGGGCGTCGGGGGCCCTGAGCCGGACTAGGACCCCCCTCCGAGCCGGAACCCGAGCAGGAGTCGGAGCCGAAGCCAGAACCAAACCACCGGTACTGGGTGGGCCAGGTGGTCAGAATGGGAGGAACCGAAAAAGGGGGGAGGATGCTGGAGTACGAACTAGTGAGGGGGGCTACAGAGGCCTGGCTCAGGCCGGTGCGGACGCTGACTCAGGGGCGATTCTTGCGCTGACCGCCTGAGAATTCCGTCCCATCTCGCTCTGTGGTGTCCTTGGAAGGGACGGGAGCGCAGGACAAACTGGAAAGGGGAGCGCTGTGGGCGTCGGAAAAGCGGGACCAGGGGGAGAGGGCTTGCATAGCCGCGGTCCAGCACCCCTGGCCCTGACCAGCACCCCTGGCCCTGACCAGCACTCCAGGCCCGGACAGCTCCCTTGTGGGTGGGGCTGGACCTCCGAGCCGTGCCTGTTTCAGATCCTGAGACTGGCATTTCTGTCCCTTCCCCCAATCCTTCCTAGCCGCAGCCCCCAAACCCCAGGAGGCGTCCTGGCCCGCGCTCGCCCCCCAGGGCCTCATGGCGGAACCACAGCCTGACCTGGAGCCACCCCAACATGGGCTGTACATGCTCTTCCTGCTTGTGCTGGTCTTCTTCCTCATGGGGCTCGTGGGCTTCATGATCTGCCACGTGCTCAAGAAGAAAGGTTACCGCTGCCGCACGTCCAGGGGCTCGGAGCCCGATGACACCCAGCTCCAGCCCCGTGAGTGAGGAGCCTAGAACCTGTCTCAGTCACCTTTTTCCTTACCCTTGTCCGCACACCTCTGTCAGCCTTCCTGGCCAACAGACCCAGCCGCGTCCCAGCCAAGCCTTCAAAAGACCTTGTGATGCTTGCTTGGGTCAGCAGGTGGGGTTACACCATCCTGAAAGCAAGGCTAGAGAAGGCAGCATGGGGGTGGGTGGGGCCCCGCTGATGGTAACCTTGGGCTCCCATTGATTTCCTCATCTTTTCTGCCCTGACCCCTGAAATGCTAATGCCCAGCACGATGACACATAGGCACAAGGTTCTATCGTGAGCCATCAGCCACAGGAGCCATAGTGTCCCCCAAAGCTGACTCGCTTCCAATTCCTTGTCAACCTTTTTTTTTTTCTTTTCCTTTAGCTGACGACGATGACATGAATGAGGACACAGTAGAGAGGATCGTTCGCTGTATTATCCAAAATGAAGGTGTGTGTAAGCTCCCCCTCCCCATCCACCCCCTGACTTTCTCTTGCCCTGACCTCCACCTCCACTGACTCCTTTTCCTTCTCCCCTCAGCCAATGCTGAGGCCTTGAAGGAGATGCTGGGGGACAGTGAAGGAGAAGGGACAGTGCAGCTGTCCAGGTGAGCTGGAGACGAAGGCCAGCATGACTTAGCTTGCCTTGGAGAGTACCCTCTCCTCCAGCACAATCGTCTCCCAGTCTCCTTGCATGTTTGGGGTTGGGGGGGAGGGGGGAGGAGGGCAAAACTGGCTAACCTGTAGGAAGAAAGAAGTTTTATAGGAACCTCACGTCCTTCACATCATACCTCCCTTCTGGATGCCATCAAGCTTTGCATTCACCCTTTGTGAACTACATTCAAGCTTTACATTCACTCCTTTGGGTTAAGCACTGCCCTCTTTTTAGAAAACAGCTCTGGGAAGAACACATGATCACTACCACCTTAATGTTGAGTTTATTGGATGGAGACAGGAAAGAATGTTGGGGCCTGGGGAGAGTGGGCATCTGGAGGCTTCAGGAGCAGGCTGAAAGAACAGAAACAAACAGAACAGGACGAGGAATGGAAATGTCACCCCCGCTCCCTTCCTCTCTACCGTCCAGCGTGGATGCCACCTCCAGCCTGCAGGATGGAGCCCCGTCCCATCATCACACAGTGCACCTGGGCTCTGCAGCCCCTTGCATCCACTGCAGCCGCAACAAGAGGCCCCCGCTGGTCCGTCAGGGACGCTCCAAGGAAGGGAAGAGCCGTCCCCGGCCTGGGGAGACCACCGTGTTCTCTGTGGGCAGGTGGGGACACAGTGCCGTGGGGCAAGGGAGGTTGAGGTGGGGGATCCTGACTCCAAGGGTGAGTCCCACCTCTCTTCTCCTGGATTGTGACCTACAGCAAGAGTAGGTTATACAACGTACCCCACAATCTGAGGTCTCCGCTGCCCTAAGCTACAGGGATGTGGCCATCAAACCAAAGATGTCCCGGGTTGGAGGGGAGGGCCAAGCAGTTCCTGAGTTGTGATCGTAAGACCAGTGTTCCCTTCCCTCCCAGGTTCCGGGTGACACACATTGAGAGGCGCTATGGACTGCATGAGCATCACGATGGCTCCCCCACAGACAGGAGCTGGGGGTCTGGTGGGGGGCAGGACCCAGGGGGCAGTCAAGGGTCTGGGGGAGGGCAGTCCAGGACAGGGATGCCAGCCATTGAAAGCCTGCCCCCTGAGAGGCCACAGCCTCAGGCCCCTGCCAGCCCCGCAGTGCAGAATGGACTCAGGGACAGCAACCTAGACCCTTGTGCACTTGGAGGGAGCCCTGGAGCCTCTGCAGAGTCACCGCTGGTGGCTGGAGGGAGGGGCCCCAGCCCAGGGCTGGCCAGACAAGAGGCAAATGGACAGCCAAGCAAACCGGACACATCCGATCGCCAGGTATGAAGACACGCCTCGGCTGTGGTGGGCTGAGCTCTTACTGCCCTTTGCTCTGGGAACGGGTGCATTGATATGACTCAGATCCTATTCTCCTACTGTTGACCCCTCCTCTCACTCAGGTGTCTCCAGCACGGGGAGCAAAAGGTGTGTGAGGTAAGTGTGCCTGGGCTTCAAGTCAGATAATCTCATCCTCCCACCCCCTATTTACACTATTGAAGCCCATTGGCTGGCTCCCTGCACCCCTCCCCCACCCCCACCCCCAGTAAACGGCAGGCTTTTCCTTTGCTATATAGTCTTCGGTTTGGTGGTGGGGAGCAGGCATGCCCTCCAGGGAAGAGGGAAGGTACCACAGCCCCCGGGGGAAAGCTGGAATACAACGTGACTAGGAGGCAACACTATTACCCTTCCTCTCCCCCAAGCCTCCTTCTTCGTTGCTGAAGAACTACCAGTTGCAGAGCCAGGGGCTGGGTGGCCATGAAACCTCTACTTTCCACTGGACAGCACTGCCCCCAGCTGAGGGACCAGTCCTAATCGGTCTCAGCCTGGAGGACACTGGGAGAAGGCCCCCACCCACCCCCATCCCTCAGTCCCCTTTCCTTGCCTGCCAACAGGCTGCCTGACCCACGTTCCCCATCACCTTGCTCCATGTGCTAGAGTGTGGCAACTGGGATCAGGCCCCTTAAAGCAATAGCACCTTAGACTCCCCTGCCCTCTTGGCACAAAAGGCCCAAGCCCTGGCTTGGGCATCATGCCCTTTATTCACTGTCAATAAATCTGCTCAGACCATTACAGTTGTTTCACATAATGGCTCCAACTCCTTCTGACAGGTCCGCCCCCAACCCCTGTGGCCCTGGCATCGGGAATGGGTGGGTGACAGAGCCAGGGTGGAGACAGACTGTCCAGAGCCTCTCAAGACTTTTGCGGATGGGGTCCAGCCCCAGAGATTTCAGGGTATCTCACCGCTCCAGAGCTGGAGTGGTGGTAAAAAAGAAAGGGGTAGTTCAAGCCCTAGAGACAGTAAGAGGACGGACAATGCGGGGGAAAGGAGGAGTCCCAGACTCAGAATCGGAAAAGGGGCAGTTTCTACCCCTGGAGATAAGAGCAGAAACGGGGGAGGTTCCAGCTTCTGGCTGTGTCACTCCGGATCACTGAAGGTGGTCTCTGACAGCAAGGAGACAGGGCAGCAGCAGCATCTCGGCAGGGGCAGTAGTCCCCCTGGCTTCAGGTGAGGGGGTCTGGACGGCCAGGATCCGGGGCTTTCGCTGGCGGGGGAGGCGGTGGACGCACCTGTAGGGAACACACAGTCAGTGCTCCAGAGGCCTCTATTGGGGATGTCCCTGTGCATTCCCTCAGCCCTACAGACAAAACAGGACAAGGTGGAATGACTCCTCCCTACACAGTCTCCTCCAGGGAGAGGCTCTTACCGGCCTGAGTCGAGGCACCATCATGTCCAGGGGTCCAGGGCAGTTCAAGTCTTGGTCTGGAAACAGGAATCACAAGTCAGTCTTCAGACTTTGTTTTATTCATTGCTACATCATCAGCACTTAAGACAGTGGCACTC